CATAAACATTACGATAAAAAAACTCAGAAATGTTAGATTATTTTTAAGTTACCAAAAAAAAACTGTTTATTTTCACTGTAGTTTAGGAACGAGGCAAGACAGGTGTACACGATGACACATACATACATACATACATACATACATACATACGTACATACATACACACACACACGAGAGATGAGGTGGTGCAGGGTTACTCATCTCCTGACCCTTATTCACTCGCTATATATAACTTAGTTTGTCGTGGTTGTGACACTGAAGGGGCACAGTGCCTGGGGAGGGGGAAGGGTGGGGAGGGAGGAAGGGGTGTGTGGAGGGGGAGGAGGTGTCCTCTTTTTTCCTCTCCTCTCCTCTTCCTTTACTGATTCTCTTCATCTCCTCTTCTTCCTCACCTTTCCCCTCCTTTCTACCTTCTCTCTCTCTCTCTTTCTCTCCCCTCCTTCTCCCTTCCCCAAGTGACTTAATTAACCTGGGGGCTAATCTTCAGGTGATTATTCTCTCCTCCTTTCCTCCCTCCATTCATCATCTCCTCCTCCTCCTCCTCCCTCTTGTCTCCTCCATCCTCTCTCTCCCTCCATTCATCATCTCCTCCTCCTCCTCCCTCACCTGTCTCCTCCATCACTCTCTCTCTCCCTCTATTCATCATCTCCTCCTCCTCCTCCCTCACTTGTCTCCTCCATCACTCCAGGTGTACTCAGGTGCACCGACCTAAGTGTACACACAGTCACCAACCACTCACAGACTGTACAGTAATTACATCTGTTTAATTACCGTATTACGTTGGCTTAGTTAAATAGATACCCTTACTAATATACATCCAGTAATTAAGCTTGTTTGTGTTACCTGTAGAAGAGTCTTAATTACCTGTGTCAAGTGTGGTGCTAATTGGCTGATACTGAAGGTATGTTATGTCATAGGAAAGAGATCCGTGACGTCACACAGAATATGGTGACGTCACTGATGAAGATATCTGACGTTACTTCCACTTTGATGACGTCACTAATAGCATTATATTGTAGCTATAGTATAAATATGTTCATTATTCATTACAAACCTAACCTAACTTCCTAACCACAGCGAGGCCTTTTAAATTCTCCTAATTCAATATTTTATAAATTAATGAGAGTCGCCGTAATTAATACTAATGACGTCACTTCCTGCATGGTGACGTCACTGAGTGTAATATGTTTTGACACGATTGATGACGTCAGCAGGAGGCTTGACATGATATGGGATGGAGGGATAAAGGGGGAGGTGAGGGTGACGAGGGGATGGGGGAGGAGGGGAGGGAGGTGAGGGTGAGAGACAGACAAGGAGACATCCACGCAGAACAATCAATAAGACAGACAGACAGACAAATGAACGGACAGACTTCACTTCTCAAGCAACCAATCAGGGGGAAGTTTATCACGTCACTTCTCAAACAACCAATCAGGGGGAAGTTAATCACGTCACTTCTCAAGCAACCAATCAGGGCGAGGCCTCTTCACGTCATTTCTAAAAACAACCAATCAGGGGGAGGCTTATTCACGTCACTTCTCAAACAACCAATCAGGGTATAGATTATCAACCTCAAGAAGGAGAGTCCCAATCAGAAACAAGAACCACGCAGAGCCAATCAGGATACTGTTTTCAGGAGAGCCAATGAGTGGCCAGATTTAGAACTTCATTCTTCCAGAGAGCCAATCAGGGAAAGCATATTGTCCCCAAGCTTTAAAGAACCAATCAGGTTAACGCCAGGTCTTAAAATAGCCAATCAGAGACCAGGTTTAGAGTGTCAAGCCTCAAAGAACCAATCACTGACGAGTTTTGTGACTCCCATCCTCGCATTAACCAATCAGAGACGACCTTTATTACTCCCACCCTCCATTAACCAATCAGGGACAAGCTTTAGGACTCCCATCCTCGCATTAACCAATCAGAAAACCCGATTTATGACTCAAAACCTTAAAGAACCAATCAGAGACTAGCTTTAATGATTAAAAAATCCTCCACCGTAGCCAATGAGCGACCAGTATGTTGACCCTTGACCCTGGGGACGAGTGATGACCTCCCCGGCTAATGACCCAACACACCTCGGTCATTACACCTGGGTTTTGCTTTCGTGTGTTTTTTTTGTTTTGTTTTATGCCCAGACGTGTATGGCTGCCGTCATCAGTGAGGTGTGTGTGTTTTTTTATGATGGATGAGTCTCTCTCTCTCTCTCTCTCTCTCTCTCTCTCTCTTCATTTTCTTCCTTTTATTTATTTATTTTATATATTCGGTTTTCCTTCATATACTCATCACCACTACCACCATCACCACTACCACCACCACTACCACCCACCACCACCACCATCACCATCACCACCACCACCACCACCCACCACCACTACCACCACTACCACCATCACCACCACTGCCACCATCACTGCCACCACCACCACTACCACCACCACTGCCACCATCACCACTACCACCACCACCACTACCACCATCACCATCACCACCACCACTACCACCATCCACTGCCACCACCACCATCACCACCACTACCACCATCACCACTACCATCACCATCACCACCACTGCCACCATCACCACTACCACCACCACTACCACCATCCTGCCACCACCACCACTACCACCACCACCACTATCACCACTACCACCATCACCACTACCACCACCACCACACCACCATCACCATCACCACCACTGCCACCATCACCACTACCACCACCACCATCACCACCACTACCACCATCACCACTACCACCACCACCACCATCACCACCACTACCATCACCACTACCACCACCACCACTACCACCATCCACCACTACCACCATCACCACCACTACCACCACCACCACTACCACTACCACCATCACCACTACCACCACTACTACCCCCCATACCCCCTCCTTACCACCCACCATACCTATCACCCCCTCATACCACTACTACTACCACCATCACCCCCTCACACCACCACCACTACCACCATCACCCTCATACCACCACCATCACCCCCTCACCACCACTACTACCACCATCCTCACACCACCACCACTACCACCATCACCCCCTCCTGCCACTACTACCACCATCACCCCCTCCACACCACCACCACTACCACTATCACCCCTTATACCACCACCATCACCCCTCACCACCACTACTACCACATCACCTCACCACCACCACTCACCATCACCCCTCATACCACCACTACTACCACCATCACCCCCTCATACCACCACTACTACCCCCATCACCCCCTCATAGCACCACCACTACCACCATCACCCTCATACCACCACCACCACCATCACCCCCCTCATACCACCACCACTACCACCATCACCCCCTCACACCACCACCACTACCACCATCACCCCCCACACCACCACCACTACCACCATCACCCCCTCATCCACCACCACTACCACCATCCACCCCTCATCCACCACCACTACCACCATCACCCCCTCACCACCACCACTACCACATCACCCCTCATACCACCACCACTACCACCATCACCCCCCTCACCACCACCATCACCCCCCTCACACCACCACCACTACCATCACCCCCTCCACCCACCACTACCACCATCACCCCTCATCCACCACCACTACCACCATCACCCCCCTCATACCACCACCACTACCACCATCACCCCTCACACCACCACCACTACCACCATCACCCCTCATGCCACCACCACTACCACCATCACCCCCTCACACCACCACCACTACCACCATCGCCCCCTCAGCACCACCACCACTACCACCATCACCGCCTCATGCCACCACCACTACCATCACCCCTCATACCACCACCACTACCACCATCACCCCCTCACCACCACCACTACCACCATCACCCTCATGCCACCACCACCACCACCATCACCCCCTCATCCACCACCACTCCACCATCACCCCCTCACCACCACCACTACCACCATCACCCCTCATACCACCACTACCACCATCACCCCTCATCCACCACCACTACCACCATCACCCCTCACACCACCACCACTACCACCATCACCCCTCATACCACCACCACTACCACCATCACCCCTCACACCACCACCACTACCACCATCACCCCCTCATACCACCACCACTACCACCATCACCCCCTCATACCACCACCACTACCACCATCACCCCTCCTTACCACCACCACTACCACCATCACCCCCCTCATACCACCACCACTACCACCATCACCCCCTCATACCACCACCACTACCATCACCCCCTCGCACCACCACTACCACCATCACCCCTCACACCACCACTACTACCACATCCCACCCCACCACCACCACCACCCACCCACCCCACCACCACCACCACCACCACCCACCCCACCACCACCACCCACCCACCCCTGTTACCCCACACCTCTGTTCAATTTAGATAACCCATGACTGCCCATACAATCTACTACCCTACGCCCACAAGTCCTCGTGGACCCCCCACCACCCTCACGCCGCCCCCCGCCCGCCACGCCCACTCTACTAGCAGCAGTTGTAGTAGAGGATTTGAGTTAAGTAATTTCGTTTATATTCTCTCTCGTATGACTGGCTTCAGTGAGACAGCTAGCTAGTCCTAGTTAGTGTCTCATGCCTGTCTCTCTACTAGCTGGTAAGGTAGATGCTTCCAAACTAGTAAAATTGAATAGCAGGATTTTCATTGATAGAGTACTAGCTTCCTCTGACGTCATAGCCTGGTGATGACAATGTTGAATTCGTAATTTTAACCTAAATTTACCTCGTGGCTCTATTCTTGTGAGGTTAATATAATCGTAAGGTAAAAAATAAACCATATAGAATAAATTACCAATACGAAAATTAACGAGACATCAAAGTTTATTCGTTATAAAATAATCTAATGACTGGGAGTATCTGGCAACACTGAGTAGTGATATGACGTCACGGATGCGCGCTTCCATCATTTATGGGCTCAGCAGCTTGCGAGACGCGCAGTCCGAGTAGGGACGACACGGTGTGAGGGTCCGCATCTGCTCTGAGGTCGTGTGGGAAACAAAATTTTTATTTATATTTAACTACTTTACGTGTTTGTTAAGTGAAAAAAATATATATATATATTAACATTTTACAACCAAGATTTATTACCAAAAACCTTACCTAACCAACTAGTTAAAAAATAAATAAATATTCGACTCTTCACCAAAAGGACAATTGTACATCAGCAAACCACAACAACGGCTTATTACTCCACCACCAAGATCTCTCCACCAGCTCAGTGGGTCAACCAAAGAGGAAACAAAAGGTAAATACATATGTCTAGTACTGTATGTCTTAAGGCAGCTCAGAAGGTCATGTCTCTCACGCCTACAAAGTTGTGTCTGTCTGAGAAACACTGAAAACCTTTCCTGAAGTGGGTGGTGGTTTACTCCCTGACTACTCCCTGCTTACTCCTTGTTTACTCCTACTACTCCCTGCTTACTCCTTGTTTACTCCCTGACTACTCCCTACTTACTCCTTGTTTACTCCTACTACTCCCTACTTACTCCTTGTTTACTCCCTGACTACTCCCTACTTACTCCTTGTTTATTCTCTACTTACTCCTTTTACTCCTTACTCCTTTTTTACTCCCTGACTACTCCCTTACTCCTTGTTTACTCCCTGACTACTCCCTACTTACCCTTTACTCAGTTTACTCCCTGACTAATCCCTTGTTTACTCCCCGTTAACTCCCTTATTAACTTGCTTAAACTCCTTTGACTCCGTTTACTCCCTGGCCTCCCTTGTTTACTCCCTGACCTCTCCTTATTTCTCCCTGGCCTCCTTGTTTACTCCTGGCCTCCCTTGTTTACTCCCTGGCCTCCCTTGTTTACTCCCTGACCTCTCCTTATTTACTCCCTGGCCTCCCTTGTTTACTCCCTGGCCTCCTTGTTTACTCCCTGGCCTCCTTGTTTACTCCCTGGCCTCTCCTTGTTTACTCCCTGGCTTCATGCCTCTAGGGTGAAGGGAGGTAACTCTGCTACGCACATATTGTTAGGTAACAGTAAGGGAGATGAAACCAATGGTACTTGATTGTGTTTAAAGATCTATAAACCAATGGTACTTGATTGTGGTTTTAGATCTATAAACCAATGGTACTTGATTGTGGTTTAAAGATCTATAAACCAATGGTACTTGATTGTGTTTAAAGATCTATAAACCAATGGTACTTGATTGTGTTTAAAGATCTATAAACCAATGGTACTTGATTGTGTTTAAGATCTATAAACCAATGGTACTTGATTGTGGTTTAAAGATCTATAAACCAATGGTACTTGATTGTGGTTTAAAGATCTATAAACCAATGGTACTGATTGTAGTTTAAGATCTATAAACCAATGGTACTTGATTGTGGTTTTAAGATCTATAAACCAATGGTACTGATTGTGGTTTAAAGATCTATAAACCAGTACTTGATTGTGGTTTAAGATCTATAAACCAATGGTACTGATTGTGGTTTAAAGATCTATAAACCAATGGTACTTGATTGTGGTTTAGATCTATAAACCAATGGTACTGATTGTGGTTTAAGATCTATAAACCAATGGTACTTGATTGTGGTTTAAGATCTATAAACCAATGGTATGATTGTGGTTTAAAGATCTAAAAATGGTACTTGTTTGTGTTTAAAGATCTATAAACCAATGTGAATTGATTGTGTTTAAAGATCTATAAACCAATGGTACTTGATTGTGGTTTAAGATCTATAAACCAATGGTACTGATTGTGTTAAGATCTGTAAACCAATGGTACTTGATTGTGGTTTAAAGATCTATAAACCAATGGTACTGATTGTGGTTAAGATCTATAAACCAATGGTATGATTGTGGTTTAAGATCTATAAACCAATGGTATGATTGTGTTTAAGATCTATAAACCAATGGTACTTGTTTGTGGTTTAAAGATCTATAAACCAATGGTACTTGATTGTGTTTAAAGATCTATAAACCAATGGTACTTGTTTGTGGTTTAAAGATCTATAAACCAATGGTACTTGATTGTGTTTAAAGATCTATAAACCAATGGTACTTGATTGTGTTTAAAGATCTATAAACCAATGGTTGCTGATTGTGGTTTAAGATCTATAAACCAATGGTACTTGATTGTGGTTTAAAGATCTATAAACCAATGGTACTTGATTGTGTTTAAAGATCTATAAACCAATGGTACTTGATTGTGTTTAAAGATCTATAAACCAATGGTACTTGTTTGTGGTTTAAAGATCTATAAACCAATGGTACTTGATTGTGTTTAAAGATCTATAAACCAATGGTACTTGATTGTGTTTAAAGATCTATAAACCAATGGTACTTGATTGTGGTTTAAAGAGCTATAAACCAATGGTACTTGATTGTGTTTTAAGGATCTATAAACCAATGGTACTTGATTCTTCTTGTTTATCTCGTCATTTGCTTAAACAAGGAAGCCTCTAAGCTGGTAACCCTCACACCATCACCACTACTACCACCACCACTACTACTACCACCACCACCACTACCACCACAACTACCACCACAACTACCACCATCACCCACGTCACCTCAGCTGTTCCAATGTTTATGTAGTTTTAACATCTGTAAATATATATGTAGTCTGTGTCTATGTAGGGCCATGTATAACCAATGGGGGTGATGACGCGTTTTCTAATTTTTCGAGAACATCTGATTCGTCCAAAGTTTGTTCCAGATGTTATGAAGGCAAATGTTATATAGTGTTATCGGGTTTTTAAGAGAACGTGGTGGGGTTTTTTTATTTCACGGGTATGTTCTCTAATTGGAACCAGCAGAGGTAATGTTTGGATGTATGGTTTCTAAGATGGGATTTGAAACCATTATTGTTACTTCTGAGAGCAGGTACAAATGTTTTCTAAGGCATTGGGAGTTATTAGATACCCCGTGTGTGTGTTTGTAGTAGTTGAAACCAAGGGTGAAGGGCAGTAGAAACCAAGGGGTGGGGGACAGTAGAAACCAAGGGGTGAGGGGGGCAGTAGAACCAAGGGTAAAGGGGCAGTAGAACCAAGGGTAAAGGGGGCAGTAGAAACCCAAAGGGTGAAGGGCAGTAGAAACAAAAGGGGTGGGGACAGTAGAAACCAAGGGGTGAAGGGGCAGTAGAAACCAAGGGGTGAGGGGGCAGTAAAACCAAGGGGTGAGAGGGCAGTAGAAACCAAGGGGTGAGCAGTAGAAACCGGTAGCTAGAACTTAAGGCCAACGCTACGTACTGTATTAACCAACGAGTTTAAATTGACAGAAACGCCTCCTGTCTCTCCTCCCCCTCTCCTGTGCCACCGTCTCCTCCCCCCTCCTGCCTTCCTCTCCTTCCTTCCCCCCTGGACATGCCTTACAGGGAATGCACAGTTGCAGCTCTTGCTTGTCCATACCGTTATGTTTTGCAGTGATAGTCAATGTTGCAAGAGATGGTTGTTGACTCCTGGCGTGTAGTGACCGGGGGTTAATAGATTAGGAGGTTGTAGTGGGGATAGTGGTAGTTGAAGTGGGGTTAATGCTGGTTGAAGGGCTGTTACTCGTACGTCAAGCTGTTTACTCGTAGATCAAGCTGTTTACTCGTAGATCAAGCTGTTACTCGTAGATCAAGCTGTTACTCGTAGATCAAGCTGTTACTCGTAGGGCGATCAGCTGATATACCAAAACAAACATCGACTTGAAAAGAAGCCAATCTGACCTTTATGTCTCTTGGGCATAGAGACAAAAATACAAGTCTTCCGTGTGTGTGTGTGTGTGTGTGTGTGTTAAGTTAATTCTCGTTGTGATCTCGTTGTGGTCTCGTTAACGATATTGACAGAGAGAGATATTGAAGGTGTGTGTGGAGGACAGAGAGTTACGAGAGACAGGTAAGAGACATAAAGGTTCATACAATATAGAGGAACGAGACAGAGAGAGAGCGAGACAACAAGGAGACACGAGACACTCTAGGAGACACCCTGGGAGAGACATACAGAGACCTTAGGAGACACATTGAGACCCTGGGAGACACACAGACACGAGCCACATAGAGACGCCCTAGGAGACACATAGAGACGCCCTAGGAGACACATAGAGACACCCTGGGAGACACAGAGACACCTAGGAGACACATAGAGACGCCTAGGAGACACATAGAGACGCCCTAGGAGACACATAGAGACACCCTGGGAGACACGAGACACCTAGGAGACCTGGAGACATATATATAGACCCTAGGAGACACGTCAACTATGGATCTCAATACAACGCTGCAGGGCCGGCGTCTGGGGGGAGGGAGAGGGAGAGGGGAGAGGAGGGAAGGAGGGAGGGGTAGGGGAGGGAAAGGAGAGGAAACAAAGGAAAAAATGAAGGGTAGTGAAGGAAGAGGAAGGAGGAGGAGGAGGAGGAACTAAAGGAGAGGAAGGAGAGAAAGAAGGAAAATAAAGAATTGTATAAAATAACACACATAATGATTAACGAACAAGAACAAGGAAGAGAGACACGTGACACAGCGAATACATAAACAACAAACAAACAATAAACGGAGGAAGAGAAACTGAATGTATATATAATAAGGAAACGTGAAGAGAAATAAGTGATTAATAATAATAATAATAATAATAATAATAATAATCAATAGTTGTAAGAAGATGTGAATAGGTAAAAGTCAAGTTGTGATTGTAGCTCTTATTGTGATTGTTGTTGGTGATGTAATTGTGGTTATTATTGCTGTTGTGGTTGTTGTTGTTTCAGGTCTAAAACTCTCTCTTTTTCTCTCTCTCTCTCTCTCTCTCTAATATGTTTAAATGAGTCGAGTTACCTGTGTGTGTGTGTGTGTGTGTGTGTGTGTGTGTTAAGGTTACTAGTGAACCTTTACCTGTGTTGTTCTATAGTAAAATTTGAGCTAACATTTCGAATCACTTTTTGGGGGGGAGGTGGGAGGGAGGGGTGGGGGGAGGAGGGGTTACCTGAAGTATAGACACCCTAATGCTATACCTGGGGGTTAGGTTAGGTTTACGTTTGGATGATTAATCTTCAGGTGTTTTTTTGTAGTTTTAATACATTACGTCACACACACACACTCACTCACTCACTCACTCATCCTCACTCATACCACACACACACACACACACAGCCGGCTGTCACCTGTCGCCGCTCCTGTCTTATAACGGTAAACCAGACAACGGTAAACCAGACAACGGTAAACCAGACAACGGTAAACCAGACAACGGACCAGACAACGGTAAACCAGACAACGGTAAACCAGACAACGGTAAACCAGACAACAGTAAACCAGACAACAGTA